CACCGTTACTCTTTCTATCCTGTGAATGTGATACGACTCAACTGTGTCTGTCTGTACCCATCTCGATCGAGACATCGATCGACGGCCGCCGCCAAAAATCCCCTTTAAATACCGCAGCCGCCGGAAAGAGCTGCATTAATCTCATCACCCATACTCAGAGTGCAGACCACAACAGAAAGAGCTGTGCTTGTTTCACTATTCACAACTCCCGGTCAATCGGCTCCCGCTTCCACTCGTGTAAGATGGCAGGCACTCAGGTATGTACCCTACTTGCTAGTGGCACACATACGGTGAGTTCATGCGTGTACCTCATTCACTTGCATGGTGCACATGTGTGCCGCTTTTTTCAGGACGTGAACCTGGACGGCAGCGTCACCGGCTGCACACCGTTCGGCTCGCGCACGACGACGCTGTCCCTGCACAATGAGGAGGAGGCGGCCATCACCGCGGGGAATGGCGATGGCAACAACCCCAGCGGCCGGTACATTCTCGTGGCGGGGCGCGCCGATGAGAAGGACGGCCTGCGCCAGGTGATCACGCGCGGCTTCTTGAAGCCTGGGGTCACGTACCGCGTGGCAGGCTGGATCAGCCTGGGCGCAGGCGCGGCGAGGGGGACGAGCCACGCGGTGTGCGTCACTATGGACGACGATGAGATTGAGAGCCTGCAGGTGGAGTGCGGCGCGGTCTGCGCCGTGGTCGGCGCTTGGACGGAGATCATGGGCGCCTTCCGGCTCAGGACGGAGCCGCGCAGCGCCGCCGTTTGCGTCCACGGCGCCCCCGCTGGGGTTGACATCAAGGTCATGGATCTCCGCGTGTACCAGACAGACCGCGAGGCGCGCTTCAGGCAACTCGAGGAGAAGACTGACAAGGTGAGAGAGCATGCACGACGTAACCACCTGCATGCATACTGTCTGTGGCACGCAGTAACGTAATGATGCGAACTCCATTGATGCAGGCGCGCAAGAGGGACGTGGTCCTCAAGCTGGGCGCGGCGACGGGAGCGGCGTCCGTGCGCGTCGTGCAGATGGACAACAGTTTCCCTTTCGGGACATGCATCAACACGACGGTGATCCAGAACCCGGCCTTCCTCGACTTCTTCACCAACCACTTCGACTGGGCTGTCTTCGAGAATGAGCTCAAGTGGTACCACACCGAGGCGCAACAGGGCCAGCTCAACTACGCCGACGCCGACGCGCTCCTCGCGCTCTGCGACCAGCTGGGCAAGCGCGTCCGCGGCCACTGCGTCTTCTGGTCCGTGGACGGCGACGTCCAGCAGTGGGTCAAGAACCTTGACAAGGACCAGCTGAAGTCCGCCGTCCAGAGCCGCCTCGAAGGCCTGGTCTCCCGCTACGCCGCCAAGTTCCCGCACTACGACGTCAACAACGAGATGCTGCACGGCCAATTCTTCCGGGACCGCCTCGGCGACGAGGACGTCCCGGCGTTCATGTTCAAGGAGGTGGCGCGGCTGGACCCGGAGCCCGCGCTCTTCGTCAACGACTTCAACGTGGAGTGCGGCAACGACCCCGACGCGACGCCGGAGAAATACGCCGAGCAGGTCGCCTGGCTGCAGAGCTGCGGCGCGGTGGTGCGCGGCATCGGGCTGCAGGGCCACGTGAGCAACCCGGTCGGGGAGGTCGTCTGCGCCGCGCTCGACAGGCTCGCCACCACCGGCGTGCCCATCTGGTTCACGGAGCTGGACGTGTCCGAGCCGGATGTTGGCCTCCGCGCCAAGGACCTGGAGGTGGTGCTCCGGGAGGCATACGCGCACCCAGCGGTGGAGGGTGTGGTGCTCTGGGGGTTCATGCAGGGAAGCATGTGGCGGCAGGACGCCTGGCTCGTCGACGCCGACGGCACCGTCAACGAAGCTGGCCAGATGTTCCTGAACCTCCAGAGGGAATGGAAGACGGACGCGCGCGGGAATGCCGACGGCGACGGGAATTTCAAGTTCCGAGGCTTCCACGGCAGATACTTCGTCGAGGTCACAACGGCGACGGGGTGTCGGATGCTCAAGACGTTCACGGTGGAGAAAGGGGACAACACGCCTCTCCTGGTGAATTTGGGCGATGCCTGAGTGCCTCACGGTGGATCTATCTACACTTATACTAGTATAGAATTGATACTTACCAATCTGATTACATGTATGTACATGGGTCATACGCTGATGTGATTGACACGTTAAGGAATAATAAGCTGCTCTATCCTCTATGACACTACTCTTCCTAATTTTTTTTTTTGACGAAAAACAGCCTTAGTGCTGATTTCATTGCAATAAGAGAAAGGCCAAGACGGCCCGGTTACAGGTTCAGCACTTTCCCTAATTTTAAAGGGCTCATAATCAATTGAGGTCTCCAATTGAAATTGGGTCACCCGATTTTGTTGGGGACAACAATTTCTCGAAGCTCTCTCATTCGATTCTTTTATACGATACATTATGCTTTCTAATTTTTAAGGTCTCACAATTAATTGAAGTCTTTAATTCAAAAAGAGTCACTCAATTTTGACTGGGTCAACAATTTTTCAAGGAGGTCTCCCATTTAATTATTTTAATTCACTATTGTCCCTAGTTTTGAAGCTCTTCAATTCGATTATGGTATTCAATTCGATTATGGATTTTGATCGGGCCAATCATTTTTCAAATCAATTAGCAGCGACCGGCCTATAAAAACTTATGACACTGTAGCATCAATATAGTACATGCAACTACCGACGAAGAAATTTCCCCACATAAATACGAGTTTCTTCGCGGATAACACAAAATCACATCGAGAAAGGCCCTCCAAATAATTGAATTATAAAAAAACAAAACACACTCCATCATATTCCCGCCCTACCAAACTAAATATTCCGTCAATTCCAAAATATAAGCGGTATTAGTTTGAAAGTCAAATTCCTTTACTTTGACCAAGTGCAGAACAAAAAATGACAACATCCACAAGATTGAACAGAAAATATGGAAATTAATTTCATGATGAATCTAATTATACCGATTTGGTATTATGGATTTTGATATATTTATCTACAAATTTGATCAAACTTAAAAAGGTTTGACTTTTTAAAAATGTAATACACCTTACACTTTGAAAGAGTGAGTAATGTTTTTAGGAAATCCAGCAATATCAACGGAGCAGCAAAGCACGCCCAACCCTTCTAGTCAATACCAAAGACGAATTCAACTTTTCTTTCCCCTTCAAGGCGACTAGGAAATCTTTCTCCCCTCGATCTCTACTGGTGATCCTGTGGATTCGCCTTCCCTCTGCCTACCGCTCTGGCGGCCGGTGGCAGGGAGGGGATTTCTAGTGCCTCGGCTCCAGCTAGTAGACATGTAGAGTTTTGGTTCTCACAGGGGCGCCGATTGGACGGATGGCGGTGCTTCTTCTTCGAGTCAATCTTCTGGGTTCCGATTCTCCTCAAGTTTGTCCGTTGGGACGGGTTAGACAGAGCGTTGGAGTAGATTCCTGCCAGCTCTTCGGGGCGGCGATGCTAGAGTTGCTCGTGCGTCCGCAACGACAATATTTAGTGTCAGGTTCTTCAGATTGATTTAAGGATTCAAAGGCGACGACTGCGGCCTCAGGATGCTGATCCTTAGGGACACATGCATGAAGATTTTTCGGCTGTCATCGACACGGTCAGACCGGCTCCGGTATGTGAGCGGCCACAACGGCGCGTCGGCGGCTCGTTCCGGTGACGACAATGATCGTTTGGTGGTCCATAGACGTCGATGTAATTTCATTATGTTTTAATATTTTGTACTTCTGGTGAATCTTTATAATAGATCTGATCCTTTTCATAAAAAAAGTGCTCTATAAATACTGTAAGAAAAAAGGCGCTCTATAATTTCCTCATTTCTAAGGTAGCGGGTGTTGCAAGACAAGTGGTTGGGGGAATGCCATCCTCTCTGAACAATATCCATTTACACCACATTGCAAGCAACAAAAATGTTTTGCGAACGATCGTTGTGTCATTCCAACGCTGCGCTCTTGAATTAGTTACATGGTCGTCACTGCTGCAAGTGAGGCGGCTGCAACCAAGTTGGCACGCCTTTCGTTTCGCCGTCGAGGAATAAATGTCAGGTACTTTAGATTCTTGCCTTGATGCCATGGGAGGAAGTAAAGAAAATAACAGAAACAAAATATATTTTATGCATATAAGAGACACTGATGGCCGGTTGAATCGCTGAGGAGATCATCTCTTTGCATTAACTTTGTGCCGTGAGGACACTGGAGCCAGCGTGGAGTTTGATTTCGCACTTAGCACGCTGGGGAGCAGGTTTGTACCGGCCCTAAGGGTATCTCCAGCCGCGCCCCCAGGAAGGCCTCCCCAGGCGATTTTTTCGCGCCGGTGCCAAAAAAACGGCCCAGTCGCACTCTCAGGAGCCCGATTTTCGCCGGCTTGGGCCGAAAACAGCGCCGGCGGATCCAGCCCGAACCCGGCGCGCTGGGGGGCGCACGGGGGCGCCGAGGCGAACTGTTTTGGCGCGAAAAAGACGCGGGCCAGCCGCGTCAGCGACTCGGCGCCTCGTCTTCCCCCAACGGCCTCGGTTCCCGCGGGGAATCAATGGCAAGGTTGCCGCCGGCCAGCCTTGCCATTGATTCCTCACGGGCGGCGCTTCACGGGACGGCGCGTCGACGCCTCCCCTCCCTCGCACGCGTACACACGGGCGCGGGCCGGCTATAAAAGCCGGCGGCCTCCACTCGCCTGTGCCCACACCAGCCCCCCCTCGCCGACGTCCAGCCCCTCCCTCTCCCTGCCTCTCCCGAGCGCCGCCGCCCAGCCCCTCCCTCTACCTCTCCCGAGCCCGCCCAGCCCCGCCGTTGCCATGGCAGAACGCTTCCCCGGAGACGAGGCGGCGGCCAACGGCTTCGGCCGCCGTTCGCTCCGCGAACAGGTGTCCTGGCTCCTGTTCCAGGCGAACATCCCGGCGCCGCCGGACATGCGCGCCGGGCCAACGGGGTGGAGGCTCAGCGCCGGGGGAGTGCCCATTCCCCCGTTGCCCGACGCCGTGGCGAAGCCGAGGTACTTCGCCGAGGAGGTCGACATCGTGCGCGCGTCCCTCACCGACGCCCACCGCTCCCTCCCCCAGTACGCCGCCGACAACCACGCGGCCTGGGCGGCGTATTTCCAGCGCCGCCAGCAGGAGCGCTTGGCGTCCACCAACGGCGCTCCGGTGGTCGGCGGCCGGCAGAACAGCGAGGGGCGCCACCTCTGGTGGGGCGTCCCCGGCCGCACACTCGAGGGCGTGCTCACGTACCTCGAGGGCGGCAACGACCCGCCGTTGGCGTACCCCCCGGCGAGGGTGGCCGCCCCGGCGCAGCACCGACGCGTCGGGCCATGGGCGCCGAGAAGGTTCGGCGCTTCTTCTTCTTCCTCCTCATCGCGCTCTTCTTCCCATTCCTCCGGCTCTCCGGCGCTGCTCGGCGTCAAGGCCGAGCCCGCGGCGGAGATGCCGCTCGACCGGCGCACTCGCAGCGCCGGCATCGTCATCAACGGGGGCGGCCGGCGCGCCTCGTCCTCGTCGGCTCCTCCGCGCTTCGTCAAGCCAAAGATGGAGCCGGGGCTGGCGCCGGTGAAGACGGAGCCGGGGCTGGCGCCCGTGAAGACGGAGCCGGGGCTGGCGCCGGTGAACGCGGAGTTCGACGACGACGACGCGGCCCTCGAATGGGCGCGCCAGGACTCCATCGCGTTGGAGAAGGCGCGCCGGGAGAAGGAGAAGGAGCGCCAGTGCGCCGCTCTACGCCGCTTCGAGGAGCGCCGACGCGGCCGCGAGGAAGGCGGGGTCGTCGTCTTATGCGACAGCGACAACGACGACGACGCGCCGCCGCCTGTTCGCCAAGGCGACGCCGGGTAGGGGTCCAGCAGGGGCACCCGCGTCAAGGAGGAGAAGGCCGCCGACGACGATGACGGCGACGACGATGGCGGCGACGACTTCAGCCACTTTCTTTTACTTTAGATTAGGTTAATGTAATGTTTGGAGGAATTTCGCCGAAACTTGCCATGGGGTGCCGAAATATAACTAGTTTTTATCATAACTTCGCCGAACGATTTTTTTTAAATACGCGCCTGGGGGCGGCCCTGGGGGCCGATGGCTGGGGACCGACTCGCCCCCAGGACCATTTTTTGCGCCGGCTCACCCCCAGGCGGCGCTTTTAGACGCCCCTGGGGGGCCAACGGCTGGAGATGCCCTAACAATGCTGCAGTGCGCCTAGCACAAGCGTGCGGGTGAAAAATAAAATCACATACAACATATCAAAAGACTATGAATCAAGTTCAGCATAAATCGATGAAGCCACCGCTTGAACGACGTCTTCTCCCGAGAGGGGAGCAGCGGTTTCGCGCTTCCTCGCCATGGCCGCCAGCTTGTCGTGCTCTTCGACCTCCTTCCGAAGCGGCTCATGCAAGGCCTCCACTTCAGCATGCCGCCGCTCTAGTTTTGGAGGGTCACCTTTGACAAGAGCGAGCTGCTCGGACACATCGGAATAGACGACCCTTAACCTTTTCAGGAACGGGCACACCTTCCACTCAAAAAAAAAAAAAAAAAGGAACGGGCACACCTTTTCTGCAAAGCTCGCATCCTTCGCTTCATACTCGTCTGGGTTCTCCGTCCAAGCCAAGCGATGAGCTATGGCCTTCAGAAGGGAATCCAACTTAAACAAGTCAATCGGGGTACACTGCATCATAGAATATCACCCATGACGCCGTGGTCATCTCTATCACCTTTAGAACATTGGCCCTGAGAAAATGCTTCTTTCTGATGTGATACTGAATGGCTTTTAAGTCCACACACATGATGCTTGTGTTCCTGTCAGACACAGGGTCCGAGACCGGAAGATGAAAGCGGTGCTTCTTGCCCGGCTTATCATCAGTAGTCGGTGGGATCATGTCCATGGGAAGTCATGGCCCATGAGATACCAGCACCTCGAAGTACATTTCGGCGATGATGTCGAGCTCCTAAGGCCGATGAATTTTGTTGTGGGTTGGCGTTGGATATGCCCTAACAGGACTTTGGCTACATTTATTTCTAAAAAATTCTTGGTGATGGATCATGCTAATCTTTTGATGACGTCTAGCTCGAAAGGTCTGCCAAGGGACGGGGCTCCTCTAACGTACTGCAGCGCGCAGTTGGGCCACTGACATGTGGGCCTGAAAGCAAGTTGGCCCACCTGTCAGTGACCCAACTGCGCCCTGCAGTACGTCAGGGGAGCTGAGTCCTCTGCCAAGATCATGGTAGCTTTGGTGGGTTGTCGGGGGAAACAGGCTTCGTCTGCTTATCAAGACGACGCAAGAAGGCCTCCACCTCCTCTTTGCGTTGTGCCAGGGTATTGATCCTTTCGGTCGAGTGAGCCACTACATGGTCATAGGCTTCAAGTGCTTGAACGACGTCTTCTCCCGAGCGGCGAGCAACATTATCACGCTTCCTCTCCATGGCCGCTTGCTTGTCATGCTCCTCGGCCTCCTTCTGAAGCCGCTCCTGTGAGGCCTCCCCTTCATCACACCACTTCTCTAGTTTTGGGCGGTCACCTTTAAACGCGAGCTGCCCAGGCACCTGGAATAGGCAGCCCCTAACCTTTCCAGGGCGCACCTCCTTTTCTGCGAAGGTTACATCCTTCTCTTCATAGTTGTCCTGGTTCTTCGTCCCTACCAAGCGATGAGCCATGGCCTTCAGAATGGAATCCAGCTTCATCAAGTCATTGGGGCACGTTGCATTATATATTGTCATCCATAATGTCGTGGCCATCTCTGTCGCCTTCAAAACACTGGCCCTCAAAAAATGCTTCTTTCTCACGTGATGTTGGATGGCCTTTAAGTCCGTACATACGATACCTGTGTTCTTCTCAGACTCAAGGTTTGAGACTGGAAGATGAAAATAGTGCTTCTCGTCTGGCTTATCATCAACAGTCGACAAGTTTATGTCTAGGGGAAGTTGTGACCCATGAGATACTGACACCTCAAAGTACTTCTCGGCCATGATGTGGAGCTCCTTAGCCCGCTCAACGAAGTTTGTTGCATCAACTTTCACTCCACGCACTTCATCAAAAACATGTATAAAAAATAGATACGATAATTACCTCCATCTTGGATGTAATCATCACATCAATTTTTAAAATACATGTTCTTTTTCAAGATGGAGCGTTGTTATTAATGCCTCAGTGTTTTTAGATGAAGCACCTGGAGTGAAAGATGTCGCAGGGACTTCGTCGAGTGGTCTAAGGAGATCCACATCACCGCCGAAAAGTGCTTCAAGGCGTTGTCATCTCATGGGCCAACACTTCCACTTGACATGATCTCACCAACTATTGATGACAAGCCGGGCGAGAAGCCCTGCTTTCATCTTCTATTTTCGGACCTTGTGCTTGACAGGAAGACGGGGATCACGCATGGACTTAAACACGCTCCAACATCACCACAGAAAGAAGCCTTTTTACAGTACCATGTTCTGTATGTCCTCAAGGCGATGGCGATAGAGGTAGCCATGCAGTGTACCCCGACAACTTATTGAAGTTAGATTCCATTCTGAAGGTCATGACTATCGCTGTTTGACAGGGGCGAAGAACCCGTACGCGTCTGAAGAAAAAGACGTGACATTTGCAGAAAAGGAGGCACGCCCGTTCTTGAAAAGGTTACGCGAGGATCCCAGCATGCATGGCTGGGATCTGAATCTTGCACTTGGGAGTTGGAGTTGCTCTTTTCTTGAGCGCCTAGCTAGCTTCTTGGGAGCAGTAGGGTTGCTGCGCCCCATAGGAAGCTTTTAAATCTGAGTTAAGAAAAAAAATACATCATGAATTAACTTGCTACAATTCGATCGATCTATGCTTGAGAGAAAACATCAATGCATGGACGAGAGTGCTACGTAGTGGAACCGATGATTTCTATTCCGGCCATGCGTACCTTCGTTGACTAGACGGCTGCTCCCGGGGTATGGCGATCGACGATGTGAAGAAGATCACACGGGGCTGCTGCTTTTATAGGCCCTTCGGGAGAATTCTGTTTTTCTTTTTTCAGGAAGAGATAAAATCGACAGGCTGGCAAACTGTCGGCATACGGCGAGATTAAAGAGGATTGCTGTTTTAAAACGATATATATATCACCTAAATCTTATCGGCCAAGTAGCCTTTGTGCGTACGGCACATGGATTCTTTCATCTTGTTACCGCAGCATGGTAAAAAGAAAACGAGACCAACCCGGGCTAGACTAGCATGTTGGCATTTTTTATAGAAAAAAACTCTGTTAGCACCAAGGGCTCGAGCCGACTTAAACACTGGTGGGCTGGCTGTGAACTCCTGCGCCTTACCAACTGAGCTTTGTTACTGCAACACAATTATTCCTTGAACCCCGATAAGGAGCGAACGTCAGATTTCTACCTGACCTGACGAATCGTTCCCGGCAGGGGGGACGACCGGACGATTTCCTTTTGTATGCCAAGCATGAATACTTCCAGAAACTTATCGCTAAGGGCTTGTTCGGTTGCAACAAAATCGGAGGAATTGAAGTGGATTGGGGTGGAATAAATCTCATACAAGTCAAAATCTCACTAAATCCCCTCCAAACCTCTCCAATCCCCTCCGGGAGAGGTTTAACCGAACAAGGCCTAATGAGGAACACAACAAAAAGCCCAAACAAAAACGCCAGCATGGGGTCCGTTGCACGAGCGACAAAAGAAAAACAGGCCCATTTAGATACTAAAACACAAAAAAATGCAGAAAACCCAGCTAAAAACTGAGAGAAACTTTACAAATAAAAATGCCACAAAAATCTAGAAATTCATAGAAAAAATAGCTGACAAAAAATATATAAATTGCCATGGTCCAACAAAAAAAATTAAACTTATTGTGTTAGAAAAAATAAATCTGCTATGGTTTTAATTAAATTTTGAAATTGGTCAAAAAATAAATTTCTGTGGTCACAACAATTTGCCATTGTCCATATAATAAAAATGTCATGCGACACAACGATAATTTAGACTAAAAAGGCTTGTCCGTGGCCAAGGCTATGTTTTGGGAGAGAATTGCGGATTACTATAGCAACTCCGTGGACATCATTGGGGCATAATTCACGACCAATGCAACCGATGGTCCGGTTGCATCAATCAATCGAATCTACACCACCGAGCGGTGTGCAAGTGGCGGAGTATCGCCCCTACATCCAGGAACTTTTCAAGCATAGCAACCCCAAGTTCAGCCACAAGCCCGTCACGTTGCACCATTGCTACAAAGAACTATGCAAAAACGAGATGTGGATCGAAAGAGTTGTGGAGACTACTTCAAATAGATCAAGATTGAGCATATCCATTGGGGAGGACAACAAGGTGGATGAAGAGGCCAACAATAGACTGGATGAGCTCAAGATGTTGGAGGATGAGAAATGGAAGGCCAAGTTAGGGGCCGAAGAGAGAAAGTTGAAGGTGGAGGAGCATAGACTTGCACTTGAGGAGGAGAGGATTCGTGATGCCAGGAAAGTCGAAGATGGTGCTATCATGTTCATGAATCCAACCACAATGAATGGAACATCAAGAAAGTATTGGGAGCTCACTCGTGGAGAGGTCTTGACCCAAGTGTAAGGCTCTCTTCGGAATGTGGCCGTGATGGTGTTGCGGCCGAGAGGATGGTGGTGGCGGTGGTGGTGGTGGCGTCCAAGAAGATGGTGGTGATGGTGGCCTATACACTATCACTACGATTGTCTCAAAAATGAAAAATCTATACACTATGAAGCATTGAAAAGGGCCTTGTATTGTGATGTACGATAGGTAACATCTGTCTGTATAAATAATCTTCTCTTCCACATGAAGACAATACAAAATACCGGTAACATGGCTTTCACTTGAGATTAATCATATCCGCAAACAGAAAAAACATACTTCACACATACCTCGAGACAGATCCTAAAAATAACACACCTCGAGATAAAAAAAAAGTTAATTTCTAATTCAATTAGTTCATGCACGGAGAAAGTAAAACTAGCCTCTTTAAGTAATCTTTAACCGTAACAAATAATTTACATGATCCGTTCAGCTTTGCACGGAAGTGGTGTCGCGTCATATATACAGTACCATTTCGTTTAGGTCTTGAGCAGGGCTGCTGCATCATCAGTATGGTACTCGCACATGTTGCTGGAGCTCCGCTTGCAGTAAATGCCGGCGACGGAAACTTTTTCGGTCTGTTTGTCGGATTGTAGGTCGATCCTGTAGAGCATGCGATGGTGGAAAAGCAGGCTGCCGCTCTCCCCTGACTCTGAGAAGCACTCCAGCGCCACCCTGTCTCCCTTCTCCCGCACCGGCAGCGGGCCCTCTCGCTCCAACGTGATGTTCCACAAGTCGAAGCACTTGTGGCGCGTCCACCTCGCCGGCTTCTCTGCCTGATCGTCGTCCAGCGTCCATAGAGATATGGTGACATTTGCCACCGCGGCCAGGGTCAGTCGCCGCGTCCCGTTCACCGTTGTCGATGCCAGGAGGATGTCCTCGGTGTTGAAGTTGTCGCCGCGTCCTCGTGTTTTTGGAACTTTGTCCGGGAACTTTATCGGCGCCGGCTGCCGCTGTCCATCGAGAGGGAGCGCGAGGACGTGGTAGCCGAGGGACTTCGACTCGGACTTGCAGAGCCAGTACGCGACCCCGTCGAGGACGAGCGGCGAAGGCCGGACGAACCTGCTCGGCGCGCCCAGGGGCAGGTTGGCGTACGTGGCCACGACGCCATCCCACTTGCCCTTGGCCGACGAGAAGGTCTGGACCTGGAGCATCCCGGCGTCCGCCAGTTCAAGGTTCACGATCTGCAGGGTGAAGCCCGTCCCGTGAGCTAGCAGCACGAAGGACTCATCCCAGATGGACGGGCGCGGCAGCGAGACGTGTTGCCCGGTGACAGGGTTGCACACGACGAGGTCTGAGGGCGGCGGCGAGAGACCAGGCAAGACGACTGCGGCCGGCGATGGACGGCGGCGGAGGGCGACGAAGCCGCCGTGCGACGCCACGGGCTCGTAGCCCTCGAGTTCACTTTCACGATCCTTAAGGAACGTGCATGCGGCTTCGAAGGCGACGCCCGTGCGCGTATTGGCGTGCGCCTGTGTCTTCAGAAGATCAACACCGCCGCTGGAGAATCCGTAAAGAACGCCGAGGATGTGTTTGGGAGAGACGCCCGATTCTTGTGCCACCATGGCGACCACGTCCGTTCTTCTCTCTCGCGTTGTTCGCGGGGTGTTCTTCCCTCGAGTTCGCGCGTTTTTTGGCTCGATCACAACTAACAGGTCGATCACAATGTATGCCCTAATCGCAGGAGTTGTATATATATACTCCCAGTGATCGGTAATCCAACTCGGTCAGCCGGCTTTCCGAATCCAACTGGCATGGACGACCCGCAGGCCGAAATATTGAGGGGCCGTGTTCAAGTGTACCTATCAGCCCAATTATAATTACGATACGTAGCCCAACCAACATCAACAGCCACGGCCCAGCATTTCTCAAAAAAAAAAGCTACGGCCCAGCAGGCAATACGTACCTAGTAGCTTCCAAAATGACTGCTTGGAGTTTCTAAAAAAAAGATGACAGCTTGGATCCGGTGCCTGAAACAAGAAAAGAAAAAAAATGACTGCTTGGATCCAGAGGAACCTGCCAGAAAGACGCGACTTACTTTCCAAGATTTTCTTCTATTTTGTTTTTTGTTTTTATCATATCATCTCTTGGCACCTAGCCCTTGGATTCTTCTCCTCCCCGTGCCAACCGTCTTCGACTCTCTCTCTACTACTTGCAGCCATCCATTAACAAGCGCCAAGCCAACGGCGTAAAGCTAGGAAAAACGGCCGGGGCAAGAAGAGCCCTGGACTCTTTTGACTCCCAAGCATTCATGGCCGCCCATTCATGCATTCAATTTTTTTGACGCTGATATCTACCACACGTGTGACATAATAAGCATTCGTCCATACATCGTGTGTGGCATGAGCGGGGGACAGCTCACACGGGCTGTGTGTGGGCGAATAATAGAATTGCCCACATGTATGAACGCAGGTACTTCGTGTCACACGCCCAACAAATACTACTCATCCCGCTCCGCGCGTGTGGCATGAAGCAAATATGCTCACACATCCTGACGCAACTACAATAGATACCCGCGAGATGGCGATTTAGTTGCCATCCGGAATGGCAGATGTAATTATCCGGGATGGCAAATATGGTTGTAAAAGCATGTCAACTCTCTGTTCTGGTTAACTATCGTTGCCATGTCTAATTTATGGTAGTTGCCGCGTGTAATCAAACCATAATTGTCGTGTGTGATTAACTACTTGCCACATATGATCAAACAATAGTTGCCATGTGTGTTTACCTAGTTGCCACGTGTGGTTAATCACAGTTGCCATGTATGTTTACCTGATTACCACGTACACGCAACTGCAGTTGCCGTCTAGCAAACGAATCATAGTTGCCATGTGTGTTTACCTAGTTGCCATGTACGCGCAACTGCAGTTGTCATCCAACAATGTACGACTGTCCTGTGGGCGAAAAGCAGTTCGCACACACGCGCGTGGACTAGGTGGTGGCTGTGTGGGCAGAAACTAGTTCGCCCACACAGCGCAACTGGCAACCGCGTGCTGTGGGGCGTATGGGCGACCTCTCCAACGCCCCACACACCGGCCTTGTCCTACGTGGCACGCGAAAACAGCCTCGGTGTGTCAAGATTCGTGCAAACTTAACTGGACGGTGATCCAGGCATGTGGGCGAGTTACTATGTTGCCATACGTGTGTGAACGTTAGTGTTTTCGAATTTTTTTCTATACATGTAGCGCATGGATCAATATGTTGGTTTGGATATAAAGTATTCGAGTATATCCAGATATTATGGTGATAGGGAAACCATGAAATTGTAAAATCTAAAGTTAAGAGAGGAGTCGGTATCCTCTCCCCCTCCCCCCCGCTGCAAAAAAAGAGAGGAGTCTGTACTGTGTTCGTTTTGTCTCCCGGATTACATTAATCGCACGACTTTCTCACCGTCGATTTTTTCCCTAAGGCTGGTTGTAATGGAGAGTATTGTATACTAGTATCATGCGTATGATACTAGTGTATGATACTACATCCGTAATGCATGGTATCATATGTTGGTATCATATAGGATTACATTATTGCCATGCATGACACAAAGTATCACATCATTTAATATAATATAGTATTATGATATGATACTCAAGCATCTCTTTATTTATTTAATTCTATGCCAACTCATCAACATTGCTTAGTTGGCATGCATAATAGTACCTATGATACTCCCGTTACGACCAGCCTAACGATTCACCGCTCCGGTTTAACCGATTATTTTTGTCTTTTCGTCCTCATCTAAACAACCTTCAAAACCTACCTATGCCTCGTTCTCATCCCTCTTTTTCGCCTCCTTTGTCTACCACCGCCACACTCCTTCCTCGCCCTTGCCAATGACGACCACCTGTCGCACGACCCCGTCGTAGCTTTCCTCGGTGCACATCTTCTTGCTGCCATACCCCCGCCCTTGGTGCTTCTAGACCACCGTCATACACCTCTAACTCCCTTCCCACGGCCGCATCGACCATTTATGAGCTCAAGCACCTCATCATGGAGGCATCCCTCTAACTTCTCCTTACAAACCCCAACTTCACCAGGTTGCACAATAATGGGGTCGCCAAGGCTGCGACAAGGTGTAGTACCATGCCATTGCTGCAGTAGTCGCACAATGTCGGAATCAGAGGATTTCATCATCATCATGGACTCGAGTTTCATCGAAATGTATGTCATATGGGATGGGGGAGGTAGGTGGCAAGAGATGGGGAGGCAAAGAATGGTAGCTAGGGGAGATGGAGCGGTAGCGAGATTGGACGAGCTCGCCAGCGGAATACGTTGGCAAGATTTCCTTTTCGGG